GGAAAAGTGACGATTCAAACTGCCCGCCGCGATCAGTGACAATATCCGTTGGGCATCCAAATCTGGATATCCAGGATAATAATGCCTTCCCAACTGTTTCAGCTGACATGTCTACCATAGGGGTAACCTCTGGCCAGCGAGTGAAACGATCCACCGCGGTGAAGCAATAGCGAAAGCCTTGAGAAATTGGTAAAGGGCCAATAATGTCCACATGAATAAAGGCAAATCGTGCGCGGGGAAGATCGAAGGTGCCCATAGGAGATGACACATGTCGATGGACCTTAGCGCGTTGACATGCCAAACATTGACGAGACCACTCCCGACAGTCTCTGCGCACCCCAGGCCAAACAAATCGATCGGCGACCAGTTTCGCCGATGCGTTAGAGCCTGGGTGACTGAGACTATGGAGACAGTCGAAGGTTTGTCTCCTCAATGGCTTGGTCACGAATGGTCTTGGAGTAGCTGTGCTGACGTCACAATAAAGTTCTGTGTGACAATTCGGAACTTTCAACTTTTTTAATCGGAGTGATGATTCTCCTTGAAGCAGTTGTGTCAGTTCGTTGTCTGAAGCTTGTGATTCAGCCAGCACATTTAGGTCGACAGGCATCTGTAGCTCATCGACACGAGATAGTGGATCGGCGACAACGTTATTCTTACCGGAGATGTGTCGGATATCGGTCGTGAACTGTGAGATGTAGTCGAGGTGACGATACTGCCTAGGCGAACAGTTAGCTTTCCTCTCACTGAAGGCATAACTGAGTGGCTTATGGTCAGTAAACACCACGAAGTGTCTGGCTTCAAGCATGTGACGAAAGTATTTTATGCTTTCGTAGATAGCCAAAAGCTCACGGTCATACGGTGAGTATTTTTGTTGGGTTGGACTTAGCTTCCGTGAGAAGAAAGCTAACGGTTCCCAAACGTTATTTTTCAGCTGCTGCAAAACTGCTCCCATTGCCAGGTCGGACGCATCTGTTACCAGAGCGAGTTCGGCCTGACAATCTGGGTGTGCCAGTAGTGCAGCGTTAGCGAGACTTTCTTTACATTCATTGAATGCCAACAAAGTGTCGCCAGAAATATCGACTGGTTGAGAGCTTTTTGTGCTCCCAGCGAGTAAGGCGTTAAGGGGGGCTTGAACTGAAGCGAAGTGTGGTACAAACCTTCTATAAAAATTCAGCATCCCCAAAAATCGTCGCAGTTGCCTTATGTTTTTAGGCACTGGGTAGTCCGTTATGGCTTGAACCTTTGATTCTAGAGGTTTAGTGCCAGAGGCGGATATTCGGTAGCCTAAAAATGTTACCTCAGATGCCCCAAAGACGCACTTAGGGGTGTTAACCAGAACACCGTATTCCTTCATGCGGCTGAAGAGCTGATGGAGGTGTGTTTCGTGCTCTGCTTCGTTCCTGGAAAAGACAAGAAAGTCGTCCAAGTAGCAAAAGCAAAAGTCCAGACCTCTTGTCATCTCGTCCACAAATCTTTGGAATGTTTGGCCCGCGTTTTTTAACCCAAAACTCATAAAGGGAAATTCATACAGGCCAAAAGGTGTAGTGATGGCGGTCTTAGGGATGTCATCCTCAAACACTGGGATTTGGTTGTACGCCTTCGTCAAGTCGATCGTAGAAAAGACTGTACAACCAGAAATGGAATGGGAGAAGTCATGGATGTGCCTAATAGGATAACGGTCTGGTATAGTCCGTGAATTAAGCATCCGGTAATCGCCACATGGCCGCCAGCTATTATCCTTCTTAGGCGCCAGGTGTAAGGGGGAGGACCAGGGGCTTTCAGAAGGACGCGCGGTGCCGTTGTAGATCATAAGCTCGAACTCTTGTTTGGCAATCTTAAGTTTATCCGGTGCCAGTCTGCGAGGGGTACATGAGATAGGAGGACCAGGTGTGGTTCTAATATGGTGTACCGTATTGTGCTTTGGGGCCACCGGTGTGCCTGACGGTCGAGTGATTTCCGGAAACTTACTTAAAATGTCGTGATATCGCGAATCGCCTGTTGCAACCTTGACGGAACATATATCATCGTTAGCGAAAATTGCATTCGATATTAATGTAGTGGTATTATCAATTAGGCGTTGATTACGGCAATCTACAATTAAGTTATAAAAGCTAAGGAAGTCAACGCCTATTATTGGCTTAGTTACATTAGCTACAACAAATCGCCAAACAAAATTACGTCTAAGGCCTAAATCTAATTTTAGCTCTATAAAACCAAATGTTTCGATAACCGAACCGTTAGCAGCATTGAGTTCGAAGTTCGTCTTGGCTCGCCGCTCCCGAAGTGCAGAACGAGGGTAGACGCATAAATCGCTACCAGTGTCTACCAGGAACTGCATATTCGAACTGCGGTCGGTGACGAACAGGCGACCATTGGATGATGGGCAATCGTTTGTCGCCTCTACCGACTGCCTGAAGTCGCAGGGCTTTAGGCACTTACGAGCCTGTGCACCAAACTTAGCGTGGTACCAACACAGAGAGTACTTGCGGTAGCTGGAGTTTGAGCGGCTCCGTGGTCGTGAAGTGGAGCGCCGACGATCCCGCGCCCTTGCACGCTCGGTCGAGCAGCAGGCAGCATGGGTATGTTCCTCCAACTTCAGTGTGAGGTGCTGCACCATCCGCTTCAGTTCTGCGATCTCGTCATCTTTGTGTGACGCAAGTCCCCTACTCGAAGATGCCACATCGACGTTGTATGGTGACGTCAATTCCTGTATGCGATCTGCTAAATCTGCAAGCTGCTCTAGTGAGTGCGTAGGTTGCGATGCCAACACTGTCTGTATATTAGACGGGAGCCGGTTGCTCCATATCGTCCTGAGAAAGTCATCAGGTACGGAAGGTCCAGCCAAGTCTTGGAGGTGCCGTAAAAATTGTGAAGGCTTCCTGTCGCAGAGTTCTTCGTGGGTCAGTAGTTGTTTAACTTTCTTTTCATGTGAGGCGGATAACCGTTTAATCAATTCAGATTTAATTTTCTCATAACGGTTTTTTGAAGGAGGGTTGATGATAATATCTTTCACTGCCTTCGCGTATTGTAGGTCTAGATTTTTGGTGACATTATGAAATTTTATGTCGTCGTCACTTACATTATTACAATTGAACTGACCTTCGAGTAACGCGAACCACAATTCCGGGTCTTCGGGCGAAAAAGGTGGTACTTTCAAATTCATTTTTGCCGATTCGTTTATCTCGCGGTGGGTAGAAGCACGCACGCAGCGCGCCCTTCTTAGGGTCACCTTAGCGTCTGACCCTGAACCGGCAGTCTTCACATTATCGCTGCTATCACTCATTTTGTGCTTGATTTAATGTCCTTTGAGGGGTCACCAGTTTGGTAGGCGGTGGAAGTGAGTTCGTGTGTGTCGGGTGAATATATAAAGTCAATGCACTGTTCACAACATTTATTGTCTACACACATATACGACCACAAAAGAAAGTCAGAAGGAGTAAAAGATAGCACAAAACAATAACAAAAGAGGATAGCGAAAATAAGCAACTACAGCGGAACTATGACAACACGTAATATCTGATAAAGCGTAAGCGCAGCGGGAAGCAACAAGCGACTGGCGATAGAAGTTAATGTACCGCGTCTCGCGAGTGTCTTATGACGTAGCACGGGCTCGGACGGAATCGCCGTCGCCGGGCGCCCGATCGGTAAATCGTACATAAAAAACGTTAGGTGAGCCGCGTCGCGTCGCGGCACAGCTGAACGTTGATAGCGATCGTAAACATTGGTAAATAAAATTAATAAATGAATACGCTACATGTGATTAATAATAAAACATGTGAAAATAATATATACTTAATATAGATATGAGAAACATATATAAGATTTAATAAATAAATATTTATTATTAACAAATACATATTAATTTAAAATATTTAGCCGCCACAACGCGGAATGAACAATAGACGATATGCGCGTTAGGTAGCCCCGGTCACCTCACCCGCCGCACGATAACAGAAACGCCCCTGGGCTGTCGCCTCTGTTTGGAGTATGGATGGGCAAATAAAAATTATGTCGATATTTATCGTATCGACATTTTAAAAAAGTATTGACATGAAATTAAGGATGCTCGAGGAGCATGCATAGAGTACCTAGTAACATTAAACACTACACCAGAGTTGCGTTTAAAAAATATCGAAATTGACATGAATTTGATAGTCGAAATTAGTCATTAACAATCGAATATTGATTTATCGCGATAAAAAATATCGACGATATTTATATCGATAATTGTATGGAAATATCTCGATATTTTTTTTGCCCATGCCTAGTTTGGAGGTGGCTAATGCTTGAAACAAGCCTCATTTGAATGATGAAATTGGCGCCTCTCAACTCTGAATCACGTTTGTGGAACGCCTCCATGTCGCATTCCATACAAATCCGTCCAGCCGTTACCATATAATGCTACAGGGACGGACGGTTACTCGAAACATGCCGATTAACTCTGAAATTATAATGGTTTCTCGTTTCACTGTCGAGTGATAGATAACTCGATATTGTCAAATATAAGGTATGGAGAAGTCAAAGGTATGGTCTGATACGTGGGTCGGTGTCAAAGTGTCCATTGAGAGTACAAAAGTTCGAAAGGGTGATAAAACTTTTTATACATTTTTAGCAGTGGATTTTTACTATGCATTATAACGGTAACTAATGTTGTTGAGACGTGATAGCTCAGTCTTCGCACGCATTTAATTCGATATACTCGAGCAACCCGGGTTCGATCCCGGCGCCGGCACCAATGGAATTGTTAATTTTAAGTGCTGACTTATCACGTGCTCAGCGGTGAAGGAAAACGCGTATTTTCACGAAATAAAGTCCGCCAATCCGCAGCGGGGTCGCGTGGTGGACTACACCCTCTGTGCAGAGGAGGCTTTTGCCCAGCAGTGGGACATATATAGACTGTTACTATAAGAAATATGCGTGTCTAGAACTGAGCCTACGCCGTTACAGATAAGATACTTGATCATATAAATAGTTGTATTTTATGTTTCATTCCACTCCAGTCACTGAATTTGGACGTGAGCATATTTTCCGATTCGATGGTAAGATAGTCCATAGTACGGATGCTCTGATGATTTTGATTTGATGCTAGCTTATATTCGTATCTTCGAAAGACTTTCCTTCTTCATAAATGTTTCATACATAATTTCACGTCTCATACATGTCTAGTTACTGTCCCATTCCCTCATTATTTTCGACTGTTCTGTCTATCTATTTCATATTTGTTTGCTAATATCGATTTGTAGACCTCTTCTTGACTGTGGGTAGTTTTAAAAATGCTCCTTGTTGTTTTGTCTGTTATTAGTTGTTATCTCCTCATTTACTTATCTTCACTCGATTTATTATATTACATTCATTGTAATAAACGAAAAGTAATTGTTATTTTGTAATAATTACTGTAAACATAGTGCAAGTTACATATCTCACATATTATAAATTATATATTACAAATTACATTACATATTGTAAAAAATTTGCCGAGTTCCCAATCCACAGTGGGGTCGTGTGGTGGACTATGCCCTGATACCATCTTTATAAAGGAGGCCTTTGCCCAGCAGTGGGCCATTTATAGGCTGTTACTTTACTTAACATGGAAGTAACGCAACGTTCCTTATGGCAGGACACTTCTCCGGACGCGTGGTCTGCGGTGGGCAGCCCGCCGCCGGAGCCCTGGCCCGCGCGAGCCCCGGCCGACCCCTGGGCCCCTCTGCACCAGGTACAACGACGTACGCGCACGCACTAATGCACGCACACTTGCGTGTGATAACATAGACGTGTTATATAACGCGTACATAACGCGTATGTAACGCGTGTGTAACGCGTGTGTAACGCACATGTAACGCGTATGTAAAACTCCTACCTCGGTTGCTCTATTACAGCTCGGTGACACATTTGCATATTGGCGCGTAGTAGATACGTTTGCTGATTAAGTGGAATTATTTACTACTAATGTGTGTAAATAAATAAATGACGCGTTCAAGTAATGTGGAGTAGTAAGTAACCTTCGGAGTCTGTGTCCGTTTGCAGAGCAAGTCGGTGTCTGCGGTGTCTGCGGTGTCGGGGCTGGGCGCGGGCGCGGTGTCGCCGGTGTCTGCGGTGTCGGCGCTCTCGTCGCCCAGCTCGGGCGAGCTGCAGCAGTTCGACGCGCTCTCGCAGCGGCCGCGCGCCAACCACAACCACGACGCGGACCCCTTCGACCTCTCGCTCCTCGGTACCACTAATATCCACTCTCACTCGTTCCCTCTCTCATTCTAATATTTATGTAATGATTGCGGACATATCTCCTCCAAATGACAGTTAATAGAGACTCTCTCCTCCCACTCTCGGTTTCTGTTTGTATACTGTGATGTCTCATCAACATTATTCAGCTCTAAATGCGACCGTCTCACAGAGTGATTTTTATCTTTAAAGTGTATACAGCTGGGGTTTGAATGTGTATATTCAGTCGTCAGTTTGAAATATCAATGCAGTTATCGTTAAATATTAGAAGGTGGCAAGTGAAATGACCGTTCACCCGATGATAAGTGATAACCGCCGCCCATGGAAACTTGCCACCTTTTAATAAAGTGGTCTCGGCTACTTCACACACCAGACGAAGCGCGGAGGTTTATCACTTCCACTTTACGCCGCATCTTTTTTTTATGTGAAAAGTTGCTGAGCGAGCGGACGGTTCACTTGATGTTAAGTGAATACCGCCGCCCATGGACATCTTTTGAAATGACAACCTTTTGAAAATTGTGCTCCGGTCACCTCACTTTCCAGACGAAACGCGAAAGTATTATACTTCCACTTGACGCCGGTCTTCTGTAAGGTCGCGGTATTTACCCGGAAGAGCCAGCCCATTCGTGCAACAGCCGAGGCTACCCTACCACCGTATATAGACTGTAAACGAGTCGTGACAAGATTTGTCCTCCCCCCAGGCGACAACCTGAGCACGCAGCCCGGCGGCGCCAAGAAGTCGCCCTCCGCCTTCCTGGGCGAGAACTCGGCGCTGGTGAACCTGGAGCGGCTGCTGCAGCCGGCGGCGGAGCCCCCCGCGCCCAACCCCTTCGCGGCGGAGCCCCACGCCCACCACGCGCCGCCCCCGGTACTGCCCATTCGCAATACTATTTTGTTGAGTTGATGTGATGCGAACGAAGAATCGATCGGTGTTGGACAAGAGTTTATATTAGATTCCCCTTGAATTACTCTATCTAGTAAAAAAACCCGCATCAAGACCCGTTGCGTAGTTTTAAAGATCTAAGCGGACGCGGGACAGACAGACAGCGGGGCGATTTTCTTTTATACCATGTAGTGATGACCTATCTCATATAACTGTTTCGAGGAAAAACCTAACCCCGAAATCGAGCAGAGAGCGTATTAAGGGGAGGTCCATTAACCACGTGAGACTCGAAATGTAGAGAGGTGTTTGTCAAAAATCACGAAATATCACAAGGATATCACGCATATTTATCTATTTCGTCAAATGCACGATTTCTAAATATGAGATTGTTTGTAGGTATAAACAAATACACTTGTTTTATTGAGTTTAGCCTTAAGGCCCACCTCAGCACGTATCACCGAGGGGGAGGAGGGGGTCTAAAACACGTGACTAATGGACGGCCCCCAAGTTGTTCGCTTTGCCAAAATCTCCAATGTAAACGTGAACAATCGTTTTTGTCGAAGGCGCGGCTGACGATAAACGAGCTGAAGCAGCAGCAGATGGGCCTCGGGGGGGCGCTGGCTTTCCCGCCTTCCGCCCCCGCCCCCGCCTTGGGCGCCCCGCCCGCCGTTGCGGCCCCGGGCCCCATCGCGGCGGACCCCTGGGCGCCCGCGGCGGCGCGCTCCGCCTCGCCCTGGTCGCCGCCGCCCCAGCGCCACACGCCCAACCCCTTCCTCTCCTAGCCGGTAACACCACGCTCCGGTCTCTCTTCTTCTTTTAACTCGCTCTCTCGCTCTCTCGCTCTCTCAATTGGTCGCCTGAATACAATTAGAGCTAATCTACACGCCCAAAGACCTCAGTTTGGTAACTGAAACCCCCAGGGCTCTACGGGAGAATCGACGACGGTCCACGTCAGATCTACTCTTCACATTTTTGTCGAGCTCTGGGAGTATGGTAGAAATGTAGATGCAATCAGTCCGGAACAAGTTAAATTTTCAGAATTACCTAAGTGGTCTAAAAAAAAAAAGTAAAGTAACAGCCTATACATGTCCCACTGCCTCAAAGGCCACCTCTGTACAGAGGGTATCAGGGCATAGTCCACCACGCGGCCCCACTGCGGATTGGCGGACTTCACATATCTTCGAAAAATATTTTTTTTTGTTATTATTTCGAAAATATACAGGTTTCCTCACGATGTTTTCCTTCACCGCGGAGCACGTGATAAGTGAGCACTTAAAGTTAAAAACTTCATTGGTGCCGGCACCGGGGATCGAACTCAGGTTGCTCGAGTATATTGAAATAAAGGCGAGCGCCCGGACACTGAGCTATCACGGCTCTTTAAGTGGTCTATGAGAAAGGAAATTTAAGATCCTCTGCCGCTAGAAAGTCTTTTTACTGTGTTTTAAGCTATGAGGACAGCAATGTTTTAATGCCTTCTAGTTAAGCGATAAATGTGAATTCAAATTGATTGAACTAAATATTATAGAGTATTCAAGCGACAATAGCGTGAACACACTATAATCCAGGTGCGAGCTGTTGGAACAGCACTTAATCAAATAAGTATTTTTTTTAAATAAAATAATATATCAGGACATATTTTTACACAAGATTTACAGGTCCCAAACTAAGCAACGGTTGTACTATAATGTTCTTTAGTAAATAAATACACATTATAAATATATAAACACCCAGTAACTAGAAAAACACTATGTGCATCACATAAAATGTTTCCAGTAGAGCGGATCGAACCCAATATAGATGACGACCGAAGAATTCAGCATATTACACAATATATATAATATTTGTGTAGACGTTGATTCAGCAATTAGACGATGTAATAAATAAACATTATCTCTTAATCCTTCACAGAGCCGATGCTAAGAGGCCGCGCGAGGCTTCACACAGCCGCCTGGCCACACACCGACACGGCGACGGCTCTACGGAGCTACGCCACGACAGAAACGCGCCAACAGAGCCATGCCCCACACAGCTACGCCGCTACGAAGCCACGCCCCCCGCTCGCATCACGCCCCCCGGCCTCTACGGCACTTCACCTGCAACCGCTCTACCGACACTGTGCGAAGTGTACGAGTTTGCAACACAAACACGTGCTTCTCTATCGTAGTGTATGCGAGAAACATTGACACTCAATATCATTACGGCAACTCGATACGACGAATGTACTTTAATGTGGTGTTAGGTTTAAACTAACGATAGATAGTCGGAGTACACGATGCGAAATTGCACATAAAACTGTAGTGACGTCTTCGCGCGTCCAGGGTTCGATTCGGGCGACGCGATGGCGATTACCCTCGGTTTGGACGTTTCGCATCGGTACGAAATCAATGTGCTGGCACGACGCTTGGAATGTTTGCCGTTTGCTCTTAAACTCTATATATTAGGGAGAAACCAATACAATTAGAATAACGAATTGTCATTGTAAACTATCTGACTAAATATATTAAATATTATAGGATGAATTGCTATAAACAACAACTCTATTGTGCTCAGTTATATAGCTGTGAATCCTTCCATATGTTGAAAATTATTATTCGTAAATTAATTAAATAATTTACATGTGTTATGTAATTATACTCCCAAATTTATAGAATGAACTAAGCGACTAGGAACCATTCCAAGCGTCCTACCACCTGATACTTTACTAAATTGGCTGTAATAGTTACGTGTAAGGTATTTTATAAAGGATTTCCACAGTATAGCGCTAGTGTATACAATTATACAGGACTAGTTTCAATTGAATTTATTAGTGGGTAATTTTTTTACATAACGCATATCCCGGTACGAAACGACTGCCACAGTGTCTGACGTAACGAAGTAGACCTGAAACTGACGGGTTTGTAGAGTTAAATATATTTGTATTGTGGACGATAGACGCCTCTACGCCTAGAAAACGGTAGCGGCGTCAAACGGCTGCGTAGACGGAGATCTCTGCATACACCGTAATGTTCTAGGTGCGTGATAATATATAGATTCGCGGTACATCGTACGCATACTGTGGGGATCCGCCACAACGTCCATTGAGCGACGGCCGCGTGGGAAGTAAGTTGTAAATTGTGCCTTAGTACGGTTTTTGTATGTAATATGACTTTACCTCCACTCGCCGCTCGCCCGCTACGGGCCGGATATCCGCGCGTGCGGCCAACTAACGCCCGGATGCAAGAACATCCGGTTCTTCATATTCAAAAAGAGGCTTTCGCATTCTTATGAAACGTCAAATTTTACATAAGTTCGTAATTAAGTTACCACCGGTTCGGAAATCACTCTCTGTTGGGAAGAGACCGGCAAAATACTCAACAGTTTCTCTTTTTTAAAAAGATCCGTTTACAATATAACATGGTACAGGTATATTACGATCATTAAGATCAATTTAGAAAGTTTAAAAATCCTTTTGGCAATCAAATAACGTTTGAAAATCCATTTGACAGCTGATTAGTTGATTTCTAAGATTATCAGTGTTTCAGAAACCGGGCGTTATTTCGGCCTACGTCGGCATGTTGGAAAGCTTCCTAGAACGACTATAGGTCCTCGATCATCCGGATGATAAAACATCCACTCCGTTTACTGAAACAATTTGTGCAATTGCAATACAAATCATGCCATAAGATGCGCAGTTGTCTGGATGTCGCGACATCCGGCCGGAAACCGGCGGGCGACCGTAGTTTTACTCTGTGAAATATTAATTTGATCCGCGCAAATGGCGCGCTAGTAACGTTTAGCGGCAAAATCGAAGAATATTTTTATAGCGGTCGTTTTATTTAGTCGCCGCATATTTTACGTGTTCCCTCGCGTCAAGTCACAAGAAAGTTTTCGCTGAGATTATGTTCCGGTGACAGTTACAAACTAATGTTAGTTATAACCACAATTTATTAATTGACGATTATCATTTTTTTTAAACTTTATAGCGTCGTTGTTCAATTCACTTTGTTCATTGTCACCTACACGATTTGCCGTTTCTGCTTCAGTTGAAACTTGGTTACACAAGTTGCGGATATTGTTTCGCGCGTGATTCTGAGGCGCTAGCTCGGCGTGAAGCGCGCGCACGCCCGTTTGTGTGTTGTGTACGAGATGTTCCAATTTTTGTATGACGATTTTCTGCCCCCGGCGACTTGCGGTTCCGTCGCCAGTATTAAAGGGTTCCTCGGCGGCGGATTTCGCATATCGCGCGGCCAGCTGCGACCCTCAATGTAGTATTGATTTAGTTAAGATAAATTTATACGCTGGCAACGTTCGTCCGTCCGTTGGTGCTGCCTCATTTTTGATATATATATACGCCATCGGACGGACCGGTGTTGCATTGCGTTCGTTAATTTGCTAGGAGCCGTGCCGCCAGCGCAGCGAACATACTTTCAAATCTTTCAATTCTCTTGCGTGATAAGTTCTTAGATTTCAAATTCCCCGTTCACTCTAAACCCTCTCGCTCTGGCGACACGCCCAACTTGTTTCTTTATTAACGATATTTTGTCGCTTAATTTTTAACACGCAAATTGATATGGTTATTGATTTTTGTTTATCAGTTATGTAGATAAATTATTTTTTAATATATTTTTTTTTGACCAATAAAATGAATCGATGCTAATCCAACGCGTCACTAGCTAGGGAGAACTGTAAAGATTAATGTAAACTATTTAATTAAAATATATAAGTTTTTCAACAGTTGCCTTTTCTTTTTGTCGAAACCTACGAGTGTTTTTTTAAAAGGGAATAGATTTCATATTTAGTCTGTGGCAAATCAAAGAACATATTATGTCTTCTCTTCCTTTGAAACCCAAATTGGTAGGAAATGGGAATAATCGATGTCAAGTCTAATGGATATCGATATTTTGGCATTATGTACAAAAAATGTTGATGTTTTCTAACATTGACATTATTTAACATTAATTGAATTTAACACTAAACATTTAAGCGTATGTAAGAATATCATACATATATTTTTTCTAATACCTATATCGCAGTTTTATCTAGAAATAAAAATGTACAATTTTCTTATAGGAAGAAAGCATTTACCATTATTATCGATACACTTTTGGCAAAGCTCCTCCCAGTTCGACGGAGGGTTTCGATTGTCATATACGAATTAGGAGGCTTCCCTTATTGAGAGAGAAACTCTCACAAGTCAAGTTTCGCCGTGATTTTTTGTAATTAAGAGAAATTGGTAAGTGTTTTTAGTGTATAGTTTGTCTGAAAGATCTGTGCACACCACTGGCTGCTGCTAATTCTAAGTTTTAATTGAATCAACCTCAGCTATGGCCTGTTCGACTAGTATTTAGGTAGACTTACTAACTTCCTTCGGACAAGAGGCTATGTGGATGAGATTAAATCAATTTCTTACAATGTTATTAAAACAACTGTGCTTGTATGGAAACGCGTCTCAGCAAAATAAAATATTAAACTTGTGTTCATTCTGTAGTTTCACTTATATGATTATTTTCTGATGTGGCTATAGGTTGTTTTCGACTTTAGAGTCAATTAAGGAGGAATTTAATTAAATTATAATTTGTGATATTCGAATTTTTTCGTAATAAGGTGTATGAATCCAGTAATAAATAAAACTATATAATGGCCAAAAATAGCTAAATTATATCCTGACTAAGTTACACAATTTTGAGTGATACCATGAGCAACATAATTTCCTTAATGTTCTTTTGTGATTTTCTGATGAGATCTCAGGTTAATAGTATTTTATTATTCATGATTTACTTTTGTAACGAAATATTTGCCGTATATGGAATACGGCTTATTATTGCATTTACAAAACCACTAACATGCAATGTAATGGGGATTTTAGGGATTGAATAAAACACACAGCTCGTACAATATGATTATAATTTATCCATTAATAGTTTACAAAGACATTATCGTACAAACATTAAATTTTAGGATCAGCACAATACAATGCGGTACAAATACTTAAATAGATCAATTGCGTTTGTTCGCGCGTCGGGCCGCCGTTGGGCAGGCGTCCTCGCACTGGCCCATTCGCTCACCGGTACCAATGTGGGTCAGTAAACTTATTTGGCGATATCAAACAGTACTGAGCTCGTGCGGATTTATCGATCTCGTTTCGTAAGTACGTGGCCGAACCGCGAATCGATATCAAAATGGGCGCCGTCTCGTGTTCCGATGCGGCAATAAATAGCGTACGGGGGCCGCGGACCCCGCACATTCAATACGCATATCAAATAATCACTAAAGATAGAGGGCGCCGTGCCGGATGGGGGCGAGCGAAATGCGGGCGTCAGTCTCACGGCGCGACGATGGCGTCGCGGAATAAATATAAAGGGGCGCGGTTTTCTCGGTAGCGGATTCGGGCCTAGGGCGGCAGAGGACGACTAAAGTTGAAAATATTTCTGTAAACTGCAGGACCAAATTTTATGAGTTTATTTCCTTGCGCACTTACAAGCAGCCCGAGTCCGCTACGCGGGGGCGGGGAGCATGGGGAGGGGTGGGGGAGAGGAGAGGAGAGGCGAGGAGAGGAGAGGAGAGGCGGGCGCGCCTAGTACTCCCAGAGCGTGGCGGCGGCGAGGTCGGGCCCGGCGAGGCGGAAGGCGCCGTTCTTGTGCGCGGCGAGGTAGTGGCCGCAGCGCGCGGCGCGCACGGCCAGCCGCGTGGGCTCGCGCAGCTCCAGGTGGAAGCCCTGCGGGCTGTCCGCGTCGCACGACACGCCCTCGCCGTCCGCCAGCCAGTACTTGCCCTGCCGCCCTGAGGACGGAGCGACGGCATACTTATCATTGTACTTTTCACTCTCAACTGAAACCACACACCTGAATGAAGGATAAGTAGCGGGAATTTATATCAAAATCTGGTGATCCTTGGCACACATCCTTAGCCCTGTTTCAGAGTAGTAGTTAGCCTTTTGATCAATTGGTTACTAACTTCTGCGACTTCCCTAAGAATTCATCACCGGTTTTTTTTTATGTGAGAAGGTGACAAGCGAGCTGCCTTTTGACATTCGCAACACCTGTAGAGTTGCAGAAGCATTGCCGCCTTTTAATAAAGAAGACCCCGGCAACTTCGCTCACCAAACGAAACGCGGAAGAATACACTTCCACTTCACGCTGGTCTTCTGGGACGTCGCGGTACCTACCCGAATGGACCTGCCCATTCGTGCAACAGCCTAAGCTCTTGCTAGTGCTTGCTTGCTAGTTCATATATAATCAAACTATTGAATGGTGTGTAGTAATAATATATTTTAATTGTGGGTCTCCATGCTTTCGATTATGCAGAATTCGTTACATCGAGCAGTCTCTTTCATTCAATCACATTTCATTTTGTTCGATATTCAAATATTGGTGAACATAATTATTGAAAGAAAACCAAAAAAACATTAGACCAATGGCCAACATCCCGCAAGTAATACATATTGCTATCAGCAGATACACGCAGCAGAAATCAAAATCCACGGTTTAAGACCTAGAGTATATCGTACAAGAATATTTCGGAGTTTTTACCTACAAGGTTGGTCTCAAATACTGTTAATAGAGTCTTCTTAGAATAGATTCCTCACCCTTGAAGTAGACTTCGCCCTTTGGCCCGCGCACCACTTGGATGGTCTCGTAGTTGGCCTTGTTGCACTCAAGCCGCACTCCTTTGGGACCCACGAAGCCTTGCTCGCACTTCAGCACCAGAATGGGCCTACAATTGAATCGTCCGAGCTTAACAAGGATGCATTACATAGATAAGAAAGGAGCGAGAACTAATGTAAGCCCTTGTGGTACGCCTCAAATACTTCTATATAACCTTGTCAGACATCTAGGCTCAATTATATGTTTTAATAAAATTAACTGCAGTATATCGATACTTCAGTAAAAATTATACTGATTTTTTTTTTACAATGGTCTAAGCTTTTATTTATTTTCCGGGACCTTACATAATTATAATTGTTCTGTATGAGGGTACAGTTCTGTTTGAAAAATGATTACTGCACGTCAATTTCCTAATGCTTATTGAAGGGAAGAAAACCAAAGGGAAATCAATTAGTAGTACGTGTTTTTCGACTCACCTGTTGATGAGATAGAAGTAGTACTTGCAGTTGTCGTCGACAGAGTCCGCGTTGGCGTACAGGTGGCCGGAGCGTTTGGTCATCACGTACTTGCCGTTGTTGGCGCGGAAGGCTACCGCGCCGGAGCCCTGCCACTCCAGCTCGAACAGCGCGTTCGAGGACCTTCGATAAAGCAACCGGCATTAGAAGAGTGCCCCAAGGACCTTACTTCACACCGCTGAGTTTCTCTGCCAGAACAGGGAAATCGGCTTTGGTCCAATCAAAATTTAAGGTAGACAACCAGTTGTAGGTTTAAAATGTAGATCCATTATTATACTCTCTTTAATCATTTTAACGTTCACGTCTCTATAACTTGAATTGTTAGGCAGATAAAGATTCAATGTTTTTTCATAAATATCTGATAATAACCTATTCTGATTTGAACCACTGACAGACAAGTAGAAAGTCTCGTCTTGTAAGTGGAATCTTCCTCAATTCTTCGCTGCTTAAGAACTAACTTCACGGGAAATAATTTTAATGGTTATGTGTTAGTGTTTGATGTGTGGGTTTTGTGTGTGTGGTTTATCTCTCACTTGTTGTCGCCGCTGGCCTGTATTCCGCCGCCGACCTCGAGGGTCCAGTAGCGGTCCTGCATGGTGCGGATGTACCAGCGCCTGGTGCCCCAGTCGAACTCCAGCTGGAAGGTCTCGTGGGACGAGATCTCGTCCTGATTGGCGGTCACGTCCACGCCTGCAATTGTGCCCTTTTTAGTGCCCTGCGCGAATGCATTGATTCGACCGAGGCAGTTCCACGGCTTGTAACGTTACCGGGGGCAAATCTCGAGAAGACTGGCAACACTGTAATAATCCCTATGCTGTTGCAGCGGTCCTAAGCAGTGATAATAAACATCCTATTCGGAAATGTCATTGTCATCGACAATTGTGCGGTTCAGTACTGTGTTAAGCTAATATAGTAACTTCGGGGAAAAACCCATAGTCCTAAAAGTACTTGGCAACATTTCTCACAAACTTCACAAATGAATGAGGAGAATATTTAATTAATACATGTTTGCATGTAATTAATACATGCCGATTGAAAAATTAAATCTAGTTTTGACAAAATCACTGTAAATCGGCAAGGAGACAAAGTAATCGAGAGATCACGTTTAAACAACTAACAAGATCCGAGAAGAGGTAGATGTGCCGCGACTTTTTTCTTTCTTGTCATTTACGCCGCTTTTGTAAACACTGTAAGTACGCTATTTGTGAATGCACTTGACTTGTACTGCAGTGTACGACCGTAGCCATTTGTGTCTATTCACTAGAGAGCCATTATGTGGTTAGACAGTTCCGTTGCGATTGCAAGTGATATGGGAGCAGAGAGAACCTAAGTTTCCTGACGCTTAACAATACACTCGGATACAATTACGACATACAACAACATCTCGACATGTGATGCGACGTTAGGCGACTTAGCATAGCTATGAACTATCGTTGACTTATATTTATATAAACACGATGCGGTGTGTAAGCTGTAAGAACACTGGATGATGCCAAGCATTGCTAAAATGCAATACATATAAAAAGTAGAGGATATAGACCGCTTAGCTTAGGCTGGAGTATCTGGGCGCAGGTTAGAACCATGGCGGTGAAAAAATTTGCGATAAATTATGTACACATATTAATTTTTTTTGTAATTTAAGCACCACATTGAGATCTATTTTAAAGATGTACAGCAGATTTCTAACAGACTTCAAAAGGAGGAGTTTATACAATTCGGATGTTTATAAAATGTGGTTCACTGGTGGTTATAATAGTAGATGAATGGAAAATAAATTTTTCACTTGAGAACATATGTATACGGTTCAAGACAAATTATTGCTTAAATACCTTCAACGGAGCAAGCTAGCGTTTATCTGGGCTGAGGCCACGAAGATGTAACGGACGACGGCGGAGGGTGATGCGGTTATAAAACTTCGCAATACCACGGCCCGTTTCGAGCCATTACGTCTAACCGAGCCAATCATGCGAGACACTCGAACGGTAAGCGTACCGTAACATTGCTGCATGTTACTCCGAATCATTATCTCAATTAAGACTTGTTCAATATTACTACGGTTTTGGCATTTATGTGGAATGCGATTAAATCTGTACTAATAAAGCTGGGGAGCTTTTTGTGTTGTTTCTTTGTTTGAACAATCTCTGGAACTAACAGTCAGATTTGAAAAAAATGTTCTTGCATTTGATAGCCCAATTCTTGGGGAAAGTTATAGGGTATTTAACATCACGCTACGACCTACGGACGCGAAGCAGTAACGTTTCTCGTAGATGAAATAGCATGGAAGAGCTATGTTATGTTATATAAGGGATTTTATTGCGTTAACAAGTCATGAACGACGATTAGTTCAATTCACAGTTTTACATGTTCATCGAATAGATTCAAATGTTTACGTTCTAAAGTTACCCTTCATTATTTACTTTGATATTTATTGTATTGGCATTTCAATGATCTATTTTGGTCTGATGCCAGCGAGAGGCGTTTAAATATAATGTGTTTAATCACTCTTATGAAGTGTTATGCTTTGATTGTACTCTACTGAATGTATCCTAACTGAGGGTAGTCGTAGTTAGGCCTCCACGATAAGAGTCCTTTAGCGTGGATAAAGTTGTGTTCAATCTGACAAAATAGTTATAGCGATATATAACAAATAGATAGGACGGATAGCACAAAAGTGAAAATCAATTATATACACCTGACACTATTTCAGGCAGTTTATTTAAACTATTTTCTACGACTAATTGGATCGTTATATTCGTTAATTGGCGACGTTCCGCACAGGAATGTGGCGATAGGCGCCATTCACCAATCGGATCGAGACGGAGTTTTCTCGCGAGACGCGGCGCAGGCATCCGTGATAGAAACGCGGGAAAGCACCGCGCGTCAACAATGGCGGCGGTTTTTTTGGCGCGAACGCGTCGGCTTCGCGGCGCGGGTGGCGCCACACGCGGCGAATGATCGAAACGCTTGACGCATTAAATTGGCAATCGACGCTAACAGGTACAGCATAAGTGGAAGTATATAAAAGATTCCAGGATGCGTATAGATATTTGAGAATTAAGGAGAAAATTCTCGATACAATACATAAAGTAAATCGGATAATGATTCGATTTGGAAATTCTTAGATATGCAAGTTCATTTGAACGCCCGGGGTCGTGGTCGTGGGTTCGATGTCCAAACGAGACAACTATAATTTGTGTGACACACAGATAACAGTTTCGGATCTGGGTGTTTGTCCTCGTGAAGCTTATGTATGATTCCGATTACCTCACCTTAATTCATGTGTATTTCGAATATCTTTTCAATTCATCGCCACGCTAAAATATTACATCGCAAATTTACGGCAGAAAAAGAACTGCATCTTGTTTTAAGATATCCCATTTAGACGTCCCATTTCGCCGAGTGCGGCGCGATCATCAACTTCCAATGACTCCGAACGCTTTTCGCTCTCGTCATATAGTTGAACGCTTGAAAAACATCGACGGTTGCTCTTAGACGGCAACTAGTCCGGGCGATGGCCGATTTCCGAGAAGTCGTGACCAACAAGCGGGAAATTATGTATCGTTTGCATTTATTGTACCTTTTAGAATCATCACTATATCAGTATTACCATCACACTACGCACTTATTAAGAAAATCATGATTTTGGCTTCATGTCAGGAAACGACCTACGACTTCGACTCTTATAACAATTAAAACGAAACAAGGGCCGATTTTGGAAAGCTACATAATGTATACTACGGTCTCTTTCACTCCTCTCCAATCGACGTGTTTGTTCATAAGGACACAAATCTTTATTTTACGTATCCCAAAAATTGATATTTTTAAATAGCTCATTAGAATTCTAAAGGGGCGACTAAATCATGTACATATTCGCAGGTTAAAATATTGCTTGTACATTACGATGTTAGTTGACCTTGGTCCATGTAAAACTTTGTGTTTGTTAAACGCCGCTACAAAACAAGAATTCACTAAGTAGTTGTCTAATCTATTTTGTTGGCTAATCTGTTTTTAGTCGATTACATTTCAATACAAATGGCTCGGTGGCGCCATTGCTAAGCCTAAGGTTGTTATTAAGTTGCCTATTGGCATCGGCGTTGGGTCGTGGGTTCGATTCCCACACGGGACAAGTATTTGTGTGACCCACAGATAATTATTCCGTATCTGGGTCTTTGTTTCCCAAGGAGGATTTACGTCAGGCATGCGGCCGGTCGTAAAAACCTTAGCCAAAACCGCTTACAACATGACTTATTTTTATGTGAAAAGTTGCCACGCGAGCTGACGGTTCACCTGACGTTAAGCGAATACCGCCGCCCATATACATCTGCTACAGCCGAGAGTATGCAGATACGTTGACAACCTTTTTGTAAATTGGGCTCCGGCTACATCACTCACCAGACGAAATGCGAAAGTATTATACTTCCACTTTACGCCGGTATTCTGTGAGGTCGTGGTACTTACCCGCACGAGCCTGCCCATTTGTGCAACAGCCGAGGCCGCTGCGTGGCCCTATCACCGTTAGATACAAATGATACACATCTTGTGCCGACCACCTAGGTAGGATAAGAGCAGGTGGATGATGGCGATATATTTAAATGAAAAAACAAATGGCGAGTCGTTTTCGGTTTAAATGGTAACTAGTGGACGCTGAGTGGTCGAAATTCGGCCATAATTAATTTAAAATATAAGTTTGAACAATATTAATCTATTCTCAAATACAATACACTATAAACAAAAGAGTATTTATTATATGCGTGTGCGTGTCAAATACATGGTAGTGTGCGTAATGTTTTCTATATTGATTTATTGTATTTTTGGACATAATTTAAAAAAAATATTAGCATTCCTTCTCTATATAAGCGTGGGAAATTTCATACTCCTTCCGAGCAATTTTCGTAAAAATGAGTAAGTACAAAGTTTTTGCTTCACGTTTATGGATAATTATAATAAACAACAGTTCACGAAGCGACTACAGCAATACAACTATAGAATAAACAGTAATGTCATAAACTGAAAGGCGAAGGGGCTTAGATGAATAGAAAAATATCACCGCATCCGGCGCGGACGGGACCGGGCCCCATTCGTATGCTAAAATATTCAGTCATAACGATGAACCAAAAGCTCCGTTGTTGTCGGAGCAGACGCAGAAATGGCGTAAAACTATCGCCGGTAAAGGTCGCAATATAAAACTATTCAAAGGTTATATACGATTCTCAGAGACGGGGGGGGGGGGGCGCACAGATCGTGACCATAGGCTGGAAGACGTGACTCCGCATTCATTGCGCACTTAGCACCGCCTTAGTTTGTTTTAACGACAAATGAACACGTCGGGTCTATTCCGTTCGGTTTCGAAGGTTTAGCGTTAATGCGAAAAGAACTTAGTGTTTCGTCCAAGTAAAAAACTCTAGACTATAATGTCGAGTATTCAATTCACACTTGGCCAAACTTAACGTCACATTTTCATTGGTAGAAATTTATTAATGGATAATATCTGACGTACGTATAAAGTTATTAAAACTATCGTGTGACATTAACAACGAAATAATAAGATGGCTGAACTCACGTGTAATCGATGTATGTATCAACTGGACATACCTCACGAAACAAGTCAGTACATCGATTAAACGTGAGTTCAGCCGTGTTATTATTTCGTAAAATATATATTTTACTAGCGACCCGCTTTGGCTTCGCACGGGAGCAATGCTCAATGTTTGTTTTCGGAAACGCATTATAAACCTCTAAAACTATCAGTATTTCCTACCATATTATGCATGAATTAAACATATAAACCTTCCTTTTGATTGAATCACTCTATCTATTAAAGAAAACCGCATCGAAATCCGTTGCGTAGTTTTAAAGATCTAAGCATATATAGGGACAGACAGACAGCGGTACGACTTTGTTTTATACTATGTAGTGATGATACATAAAGGAGACCATAGAAAATTTCTTATCTTATAGTTCCAGACTCATCATTTAAGTTTCGTCTATTTGCGATCGATAATTCAACGTCATTTGAGCAATTTATATGACGCGGGGGAAATAAATCTCGAGGCAAGTTTACGATAAGACACGCAAGTTCAATGTCTCGGCCGTTCACGTTTGGCCTCGGTAGGTTAATTTGCTGTTAAATCTCAAACGCCGCGGTAATTATGCCCGGTTTCTGTTTAAGTCTTATTTCAACGATGCATTATAAATTAACGTCTGTGGCAACTGGGAGTTGGCTATTGAAAATCCGGCCGAATGCTAGTCGGACTCGGACGTAGGGTTCCGTACCATTATCTATAAGAACGGCAAAATCATGACAGCGGATTATTAGCAATAGGTTGGTAAAAACCAATTTGAGTACGGAACCTAAAAACTGCATCGCATTACGTTTAATTAAAAGGAACCACAGTTAACTGTATTCAGATTTGATGAGTGATAATTTCTTCCAAAACTTCTAAATAAGACTTGATGCTATGTTATAAAGCTAAGACTGTTTCAAGTCACATATTTCGTGTAGATCAGGACTAATTATAAATATCAATATCCCTTGTTGCAGCTAGCGTCGTTGAAAAATGATAAAACTTTTTAAATCCTTTACCAATATGCCTCATTGAACAAACAACTAACTTGCACAGCGAATTACAGCATCGTACGAGCAAATGACAGAGCGCGTCTGTGCAGGAAGGGGCATCGTCCCGAGCTCTGTTATTTGCATCGGTCCGTTCGTTACCCTGATTGCACTTTGATTGACTTTCACCGGCACCGTCTATCGGAAACGTCTCTCACGCGTCTGTTTCGTGTCTCCGCCTAGGGGTGCCGCAAGGAGCTTGTTAGGGGCCTTATATGTTCTGCCCCATCACGTATGTTCGCATCCACATATTTATGTAACGATTTAACAAATTCACCTTGCTTGAAACATTTATATGAAAATAATTATAAACAGAAACAGTTTTAGCGTCTAAATTGGTGATCAACTATATTTTATTTTTTCACTGAAATGCAATAGTTACTTATATATTTTAAAAGATTTGATTCAATTTGAAAATGGCAAGTTTCAATGTTTATCGTTTAATCAACTGCCTCTTCGATCATAACGGACTCTGCATTGTATTTTTGGGGATCAGAGGTAAACTATGCTCGTAATAAATAAAAAAATATTTTAGGACACAATTTTACACAACTTTATCTAGTCCAAAACTAAGCAACGCTTGTACTATGTGTACTAGATAACTTGTAAGCATACTTTTATTTTGTAATTAAATACATGTTGTACATACATAAACACCCAGACACTAGAGAAACACTATGTTCATCACACAATATTTTTCCAGTAGCGGGGCTTGAACCCACACCTTCTGACTGAGGTGGCAGGTACACTACGCCATTCAAGTCGCCAGTGACACAATGAATAGCTCACCTTGTTTGACGGAGACGTATTTGTCGTTGAGGGCCGCGACGAAGGCGGCCTGGGGCAGGCTGTCCTCGAGGGAGAACAGCTCGTCGCGGGTGACGTTGGTGGAGCGGGTCTTCAGCACCGCCTTGGAGCCGATGGGGGCCAGGTAGGCGCCGCTGGCGTCGCGCAGCGCCAACGCGCCGGAGTGGTACTCGGCGCTGAAGAGGCACTCGGGCGTGCACGTGTCCAGCAGCTGCGATCGAATTGGTGACGGTGAGAGTTTGAGCATTGTGGAGAATATTCGTCGTTGTGGCGCAGTTTCCAAGGTATTGGCTTCGGCGTCGATGGTCGTGGGTTCGATTCCCGCACGTGACAACTATCTGTGCGACCCGCAGATAGTTGTTTCGCATCTGGGTGTTTGTCCAAGTGCAATTTGTGTTTGTAAAACGTCCTTACAACACAGGATAAATAAAGTAAGGGCAATGTTAAAAAAAATGCAATGAGCACACGAGATCGCATTACTAAACTAATTCTAAAGGTATATTTTCATAATTACCTGTTCGAAATCAGAATCAAAGCTGAATTTCAAAATCAAAATAAAAACTCGATAAAATCCGTAAACTAGTTACATTTAATAACAGAATCAAGCTTAGAATGGACCTACCGGTGTTCTAGATATAACTAAAACTTTGTTAACTTGGACGATGGACAAGTGAGGTTGAAACTTAACTGAAATCAGATAGCCCACTACACGATTTTATAATAACTATCAGTAGAACTGTTCACAATTTGTATCTCGTTTTTAAGGTGTAGTGTCTTTATAACTTTGTATAATTGTATAAAAAAAGAGATTTTAAGACCGCAGAGTTTCTTGCCGGTTCTTCTTCTGTTCAGGTGTAGTTTAGTGAGCCGCTGGTAGTTTTTTTCGATATTCAATAAGATTCATCCTATATTGAATTAACAAATTTCGACTTTGACTATATGTTTGTTTACGTATATCTTGTGCCTTCGCAGTTCATGACATGATTAAGTAGCCCCGAGCGCGTCTTTGTGTTTTAAAACTGAATGCAAAGCGTGGGAACGGTGCGCGATTGAAACGTTCAGAGCACTCGTCGCACGTCCACATTATCGGTGCCGTTTATTGTCTTGAATCGTACCCGACTAGCATTGATACGTCTGCGTGTGTCCGATCACACGAGTCTCTCATTGACGCCCGGTTTCTTAAACACTGGTCATAGTGGAAATTAACTAATCAGCCGTGATATGACTCGTCAAATGTCATTTGAGTTGCCAAAAGGATGGCTAAATAAGTAAAAGTTGTTCCGAACGATCAGAATGATCAATTCAAAGAGTTCAATCAACCTTTTGACAAATGACATTTGAGAATCCATTTGACAGCTGATTTTCTTACGATGACTAGTGTAGAATCCGAGCATAAGTTAAACAAGTTCTCGGTATTGCCACAGGGGCCTAAATTTAACGGAACAAGTTTGGCAGAACCCTTAGGAAGTAGGAGTCTTACGCCCCGTTTCTATAACACTGAACATCGTAGAAATTGTAGATAGTAGAAATGAAGCTGTCAAATGGATTGTCAAATTTCATTTGCCAAAAGGATGGTTAAACTCTTTGAATTGGTCATTCTGATCATTAAGATCATTTTGCTCAATTCAGAGAGTATACCCACCCTTTTGGCAACTCAACGTTACTTTCTACGATGATCAATGTTTCAGTAACCGGGCGTTAGTGTTAGGAAATTTCTCAAAGAGACCTACTAGATATACCTACTGGTTAGATTTGACCAAGGTTACCAACCGGATCTGCTCTGATCGTGGATTATATTCTGTTGAAAAAAATATATACAGTACGTAAAAATACTATATTTCAAAAGTATTTTTACGAAACCGAAGTTTTACAAAATTGAGTAAGCACATTTGTGTATTCGTAACATATGTATTTTTTTAGGATTGTCGTATATTTTTTCTATTGAAAAATAATATAAATAGCCGAAGAAACGTTGAGAGCCCTAGATTTAACATTCAATAAGTGTTTTAATCTGGCCTAAGGTGTTTAAATCCAATTAATATACAATAAGTTGACGTTGAAACAAAAGAAAACAAGCGCCGAAGTAATTTAAAAATATGTACTAACATGGTAGAGGTCTACATAAATTAATAGTAATTAGAACATTGTGATTATTTAAAATATAAAAATTAATCATCCTGTAGCAGAATGTGGGCTAATTACTGTATTAAGTATTTAAGGGTGCTAAGTATCGTCGGGGATTTTGTGTCGGAAATATTGCGGAGTTGTTTGTACTCCGCGAGACGTAAATCCTTTGCACGTCAAAGAGCCTTTGAGGATTAAAAGTTATGCTTTTAGCGTCGGCTGGTATAGGCGGGCGACTATTCTAGAGGCGCTCGTAAAAATAGTCGCATGCGGGATTGCACCAATGAGTGCAGTGACCTTTTTGCGTTTTTATGCCCACGTAGAGCTTTTGTACTCACTACTCAAAGCTCTTGACGCTCTAAGCGCGATAGTTCTAGGTAAACGACGTTGTTTATCATAAACTGAAACGTGCTCACGTTCGGAGAGATTTCCGATATACAGCGTGTCGTTACCATCGCGACAATAAATGAACACACGTCTAACGCTACTTGCCAATAATCATAAAAAATATTAACGTTAAACAAAATCCATAATTAAAAAAATGTTTTTCAAACAAACTAATTAAGTGCAGAGATTAGCGCTATAAAAAACTTTAAAAACTAATTAAGTAAAAAAGAAACAAAATTTGTAACATCCTATACAACTCCTTCTAACATTATGTTTTGTCTCTTTTAAATTCATTCAACCCATTCATATGCTTTGTGACCTTTACAAATGAACTTTACGTTACAGTTTTATACGTAAGGGTGTTCTAAAATTCTTTGTTTTGGAAAATTTAATAACTCGGTAAATATTGATGTTTAAAGAAAGTAAATGTTTAATACAATTTTAAAAAGTTATCCTCTATTTGTGTGTTCATTTATTGTCGCGGTGGTAACGACACGCTGTATAAGAAAAAATAGTAACAATTGATTCTAAAAGAATCACTCGTCTAAACTATTTTAAAGGTTATTAAATAGATAAAAATTATAAGTAAATATAATTAAATAGATAGATACTGTCATTTTAAAAAAGATTTAGCCCACAATTTGTAGATTTTATAGCGGCAACAGAAATACATCACCTGTAAATATTTCAACTGTCTAACTATCACGTTTCATGAGCAGATACAGCCTGGTGACAGACGGACGGACAGATAAACAGACAGCAGAGTCTTATTAATAGGGTCCCGTTTTACCCTCTGGGTACGGAACCCTAAAAAGGTGAGCTGATAGCTGATAGTTGTACGACATTCGAGATATCTGCCACCATATCTTCATTAACTTCAGGGGCAATATCTGATATGCTTCACGGCTCTCATGCAATGGGGGCCTACCTTTCCGCCGGCGCTGAGGTATTTGTTGTTGCAGGTGTGCAGGGCGTACTTGCCGCCTTCGTCCGCTCTGAACTCCAGCGTGAAGAGCGTGTCCTCGCCCCAGGGCACGTTGGCGTCCACGTGGATCTCGTCCAGGGACTCCGAGAGGTGGGCGAAGCGCTTGCGGCCGATCGAGCGCAGGTTGACCTGGAACCAGGTATGGCTAGAGCCCCCTCCTCCATTTCGAAGGTTGACGGTTTTGCATGGCAATCGCCATTTATCCGTACCGTTTCTAAGTATAATTTTCTTAAGTATAATTAAACTCCTTAAATTGGGGATTAGGTCACCCCTTAAATGTTAGGTAATACTCATTAAATGTTTCATTGTTTAATAAAATGTGAATAACCTAATTATCAGGTATTTTATACTATTCGGACTGATAAGATGTTGAAATCTCAATTGTGAAATGAAATCAACAGACTTTACTATTGAGAAACATTTGCAACTCAAATCGATTCTGACAACCTTTTTGAGTGCCGTTTACATTCGATTCGTCCTTTGTGTTCATATGCAGAAGAAATATTGGATTTTCAAATACGTATGTAGCTTCTTTTTATAGTTCAAATGGTCCATTCGAAGGGGATCGCTGGCGAATTGTTTTCAACAGACTGCAGTCAGACACCAGACTTATCACGGTCTGGTGAGGACGTCTACGCGGAAGCGTCGGTTAGCGCTTTTGTTAGCACGGCTCTTTGTGCTAGATAATTGAAAATTCACGGTCCAAATTTGAGAGGCGTTATTGTAGAGTAACAAAGCGATGGATGTCTTAACCAGGTTTATTTAGTAAGTCATCATTCCTGGTAACAACAAAAAGACATGAATGATGAAAATTGGTGAATAGTAACTAACTGGTTTACATTTAGTTTCATGCATGCCTTCCTAGACAATAAGGCGAGAAGGATACGTATAAATATGTTTTTCTAAGTGTATCCAATTTTTTAAATTAAATTCTAGACATAAATAATGTTATATATAAAATGATAAATATTTAAAATCACTCGTAATTAATTAATTAATTACATTCATTTGAACTTATCTCAAAATGTGCGTGATTTATGGGTAACTCATTTATTTACGCGCGGTCATTCATAACTAACACACACACAAGTTCGTTTCAAAAGTATACGACGCATTTATGAATGATTACCGCATTGTCAACAAGTTCAGTTTTTTAGGGAATAGAATGGCAATTTTTTTTGAAAAAAAAAGTTTGTTTTTATTTCAATATCGATTATACTACCGAGCCTGAATCTCCTGTGTGAATTTGGGCACCTTTAGAAAAGCTACCCTGTATATTTTTATCGTCGTCCATCGATCAAGGAAAAAATCTGCAGATAATGATCCGTTCGAGAGCACCATTAGGAAGATATTCCGAAAACGATTTTCTTCGAAAATATTCTTTCGCGTAATCAAGAAGCGTGAAATGGACATTTATCTCGCATCGGTCGCGACGCAGATTTCTGAGAAATCGATTGCTACAACTGCAACAACTGAAAACTTAGGAAAAGGAAAGAGATAAAAGTATGAAGGGATAAATAGGAGAGAAATCGATTAGTTGACAATCGATAGAGAGTGATGGAATAGACATTCTACGTCCACGATAAGTGACCGATTATTATCAGGGTCGATGATGAGGTGACATAAAAACCATAAGACTTTCTGTCTTATGGTTTTTGTTGTTGTGTCTGTTGACAACAGCGTAATCGGGGAAATTACTTCAAAATCTACGCACAGACACGACGTAACTCAAACAAGGCAGGCGGCCAGTAACGTCTGTCAAACGCGAAGATTGCATTAACAATTTTGAAAACTTTTAATTCGCTATAACATTGTTAAAATTTTATCACATAAATGTTCTAGCTGTGAGTTTTTCGAAGATATATAAAATAAAAAATAAACATTATACCATTCAAAGACTTCAGAAGAGATTATACAAGACGCTGCCTCACCTGTGGGCGGGCGGCCAGGTGGACGTGCCACAATTCCGCGTCCCCTGGCACCTTGGCGGTGCAGGTGAGCTTGTCCGAGCTGGAGCCAAGGAAGTAGCCGCGCTCCACGTTGCGCAGCGCCCAGCGCCCGCTGCCATCCTCGGAGACGCTGGTGGAACGGACAGAGCTATGTGAGAGGGTGGCAAGCGAGCTGACGGTTCACCTGATGCTGAGCGATAACCGCCCATGGCCATTGCAACACCCGTAGGGTTGCAGATGCGTTGCAACCTTTTGATCAAAATAATTTATTTGTCGACGTAAGAGACGTACATTTCATATATCGGTGGTCATTTTTTTATATCTACAATTTTTTCGCAATGACGTTACTCTAACGGACAAGAAACAGGCGAAAGAAATTCCGTAGGTATTTATTCCGTTTTTTCTCATCTTTTCCAACCTCAAAACATTTAAATATTGTCTAAATTATTCCTACCAATTTTCTCCAAGTGGAGTCAATGGATTTTTATAGGCCTTGATATTCTTTTAAGGCTTTCTTTCGCAATATACATCACGTTCAATCAAAAGAGTATTTCGTCGCGGTAGTGTTTATTAATCACGAACTATTAAACGATTAAATATACTTTGATAAATCTGAACTTACGCAATGAACGACAAAACGCAATTGAAAAGGAATGAGCAGTGGGAAGCAAAATGTTTCGTTAAATCTACAAAACAATTAAATTGTCACTGTTGTTTTTGTTGCGAAGCCTATCAACGAAAAAATGTGTATGAGGCGACATTTTATTCATAGATTTTAAAGAACAAGACTCTTCTATACGGCGAAATTTAAATAGCTCCTTGAAATATCGCACTTGAAATTGATATAATTCTTAAAGTAATATGAATGAATCTGAACCAGAAAGCGGAAGATCTACCACACCCCGGTAAAAGTAGACAGAGAACTTTAGGTGGTGCGTCTAAATAAATAATCCAGTACATCGGAAGTTTTTGGATGCGTCGAGACGGCTGCAGCTGTGAAGACGGCGACTGCGCTCGATCCATCGTTTGCGCGAACGTTTGTCCAAACAATGGACGCATTGTATTCAATGGTCACGTGCAAGTGTAGCAATGTCGTGCGCATTTGTGTCATGGTGCCTTTTTGGTGAAACCGTTGACCCGAGAGACGTCGGCAGGAAGATATATTGGTCCCGTACGAGCTTGAGCAATGTATGTCCTCAAAGTTAACAGACACCGTGCCCGAAACATCCGAACCATCTATTTAAAGTATATTACCACTGCCCTATATATGCCCCACTGCTGAGCAAAGGCTTTAGTACAGAGGGTATTAGGGCATAGCGCGATCATCCACCACGCGACCCCATTGCGGATTGGTGGACTTCACGGTTAACGGATCTTAGAAATACTTTTTTATTATTTCGGAAATATGCAGCCTTCCTCATGCGCGCGTTCCCTTCCTTCACTGCTGAGCACGATATAAATCAGCACTTAACATCCATGTTACGATTTTAGCCGTGATCGAGACATAATTTTTTACTCAAGTTTTTTACTTAACCAGTGTGCTAAACAGATGGCGCTTGTCAAAAGTCTATAAATAAATTTCCAAAATGGTCGTCGACTTCAATGCGGTTTTGGCGGTAAGTTCATCGTCGCTCGGTTCGAAAAAAGAATGCGCTATTTGCACACAAGGCGTCCCTTCCAGTGACTCACGGCGGATTAGTATGCGCGTCGGATGGTGAAGCGAAAAATTTATTTATCTGCCGCATCCGGTTTATGGACGATTATTGTTTTTAATTTATTACTTGATTGTTGCGTGAGGATTTTGCAGCTGTGGTGCAGTTGCCGTGGTATTGGCCTCGGCGCCGGGGGTCGAGGGTTTGATTCCCACTCGAGACAACTGTTAGTGTGACCTATAGATAAATGATTCGGATCTGGGTGTCTGTCCACTTGAAATGTATTCATGTAACACGTCCTTGCAACACAGTTAATGTTATGTTAATGTAAAGTTAATGTAAAGTTAATGTTAATGTTGTTAATGTTGTCCTACGGTAAGAAGAAGCCTAGGTACCTACATACAATAGATCTTCTAAATCGCAGTGGTCATTGGGACTTACTTCCCGATCCGTTCCACACAAAATACAAATACAAAAAGGATTATAAGTTGGCTTTGTGTTATGGGGTCGTAAAATATTCTAACATCATTGGACGTTTAATTTTTAGTTTTTAGTAGGTTTATCGGAATTTTAGTTTTTGAAAACAAATCAAATTGATTGTTTATGTGTCGTCACTGTTAAGTAAAACGCACTTACATAGATTTCTTCAAAAACAAAATATTTAAGCCGTTAAATGATAGAAAAATCTGTCATGTAAAAAGTCTCAAATGTCGAAGTTACTATTTTTTCCCATTAATAAAGCCATTAAAAAAAAAAACAATTTTAATCCGATTAGTTAGGGAATTAATATTTTAGCCTTTTTTTGTGAGTCTTCATAGACATGAACTGTTTCTATCTCCCTCGCTAGGCTTACAATAAACCGTAAAGAGGTGAACACAATATAGTCTATTTATTCGTTTAAAACAATCGAATAACAATGTCTTTTTGAAGGTACCTCATTCGCTAGAAATGGAAAAGTACATGTGTTCATCGAGTTCGTCTGACGAAAGACGGATAGTTGCCCGGAAAAACGCGCCCTGGACAACAGCATCTAAAGCCACACCAAAGAACAGGCGATTGTCCTTCAGCCGTTACCTGATGTGGAACTTGCTGCCGACCTCCTTCTCGTCAGACTCGCAGGTCACGTTCCCGAAGGAGTCCACGGCGAGGTACTTGTCCAAGTGCGAGCGGAGGTAGATCATGCCTGCAACAAATGATGCTACACTTTAGGCATACATATTTACTGGTATATCCTTTGGTTCTTATAAAAACAACGAACCACAAAAATGTTTATGTCCTAGGCTTAACGCCGCGGCTGGTGACGAGAGCTGGTTCCAAAAAGCAAAGGTTAAGCATAACTATTCAGCGAGGAAATTCTGTCTTGACACCATGCTACGTGGACTAAGTTTATTAGATAACATGTAATTTAGATAGGTTTACGCTCGGTTTCGGAAACACCGATCATCGTAGATCTCAACTAATCAGCTAGCTGTCAAATGGCTTTTCAAATTTCATTTTAGTTGCCAAAAGGATGGTTGAACTCTCTGAATTGACCAGAATGATCTTATTAATGATCAGAATGACTAATTCAAATAGTTTAACCATCCTTTTGGCAACTCAAATGACATTTGAAAAGCCATTTGACATCTGATTAGTTGACATCTACGATGATCAGTGTTTTAGAAACCGGGCGTTAATATTGTAAATGTTTGATAGATAGCAATCAAATATTCAATTTTCTAATTTCATTCTTAAGGACTTATTAAGACAATTTTAACTAAGTTATAAAAGCCGTGTACGCCCGGTTCCTGTGAGGTCTAACGAGGACTAATGTGAACAAAACGAGGCGTTTTCCTTACGAGCCGTTGCATTACCTACGGAATGTGAGTTACTAGCGTTCCTTTAATCTACAAATCGTTATGAAACATACGAAGCTATGTAACTAACGGCCGTTCGTTGAATATAGGAACCGGGCATTAGTCTGTTTAATTTGCAGTTTAACCGTAAATTTATTTAATGCCTAAGATGGAAAAGAGAGACGACAGAAAACATTTGGAGATATAATCACAGATAAAAGTACCGTATTCCGACGGTGACTTCCATTTCTCCGGTCAGTCTAGCCTGTCTAGACAGAACTATTCATTACTGTCGGAACCGGCTAGTTGATTAGTTGAAGTTCCAGTTAATGCCGTAATGTAATTTCTGAAAGCTTTAATAGAGCGTACTCCGAATTCAGATCACTAAATCTTGAGATCAAATAAATTTGTGTTCGATGACTACAGTCGACACATCGGTAGTCGCCAATCGCCATACGACATCTGTCCCCAGTTCGATTACGCGGTTGTACTACTTTCGATATTTTTATGTGCTACTCACATTCGTTATATACTGTTCGTGTTAATCTCATGATACATAGCGACCTAGATTTCCGATTATTTACTTAATTACGAATCTATATCTATCAATATTTTTTTATACAAATAACTTGTGTTTATATTTACATCGTTACGAACGCCTTTACACAATCCATGGTCAAAGTATAAACCGAGTAGTAATAAATATTTTTAGTCCGTTATTCGCAAAAAGAATTTTTTCATTTTATAGTATCTTGAGGTCTTGCAGTTTTTTTTTTGTTGTATTATTTTTATTATTAGAGTTCAGTTAGCAGCCGTGATAGCTCAGTGTCCGGCCACTCGCCTTTAATTTAATATACTCAAGCAACCGGAGTTCGATCCCCGGTGCCAGCACTAATGAAATTCGAAACATGTAGAAAAAGTACGAAAAGATTGTCTTTTCGTACTTTTTCTACATGTTTTGATGTTCAATCTTAAGTGTAGAGATTAGCACTATAAAAAAAACTTTAAAACTAATGAAATTGTAAATTATCCGTGCTCAGCGGTAAAGAAAAACATCGTGAGGAAACCTGCGTAATTTCGAAATAGTAACAAAAAAAATATTTCGAAGATATGTGAAGTCCGCCAATCCGCAGTGGGGCCGCGTGGTGGACTATGCCCTGATACCCTCTGAAAAAGAAGAGGCCTTTGTTCAGCAGTGGGACATGTATAGACTGTTACTTTACTTTTTACTTTTTTATTATTTCCTCCATCATTAATTCTTCAATCTTGTTCCTTTTCCTCCGTTTGTCAGTTGCTGAAACTTTTTAAACCTATTACCACCAGATCGGCCAAACTTTATTGTTATCGCAATCGAGTTCTAACGAGTCGCGATCGATGTGAGATAAATGTTCATTTCACGCTTCTTAGTAATGGCTGCGACCTTTGGAGGGAAACCAAAGACTGCCAACCGGATGTTTCGCATCAACGGAGATCTTTTTCCGTTTTACTCCAAAGGGTAACCCTATTACTGAGACTGCGATGTCTGTCTGTCCGTCTGTCCGTCTGTCACCAGGTTCACACACCATCTCATAAACAGTAACAGTTACACAGTTGAAATTTTCACAGATGATGTATTTCTGTTGCCGCTATAACAACAAATACAGCAAACATGATTTCTTTGCCATTTTTATAGATAATGCTACGGAACCATTCGTGCGCGAGTGTGAGGGCGAGGCGACTCGCACTTGGCCGGTTTTTAAATACTGGCATAGAATGCTTTTGAGTTATTAATAGCAGAGTGTCAGTGAGACTGTTCCACTTCTAGCTTTTTATCTTTAACTTATTTTTCACGCCACTAAATCTAAGAAAGTTGTCAGCGAATTAATGGTAATGTCAAGAATAAATTTTCCCGAGCAGAAACTGTAAATAATACTCGAGAACGTAAGGACGGTATTTTATACATTCTAGAATAAATTTACGCGTATTTCGGGTCGAATTCGATGGAAATTCGAAAATAAAAAGTTGTAAAACTAACTGTCTGTAGTCATTAGTGATAATAAAAAACGTTACGACTCAAGAGTGTATTAAATATGCAAATGGCATTAAGATATTTTTATAGCAATCTCTCGAATATAAGGAATACTTGATATTATGCATTTGGCTCAGAGTTGTCGCTGCGGGCCATATTGGAAATGAATTTTAGGAGTGGTTTTTGCTTAAGGATTAGTTGTGTTTATCAACTTCAGAGCAATCAATGGTAACAAATAATAAAGGACATCGAACAGGACACGAAACGGGGGGAATTAATTTTAGACAGTTCGAGATTAAGTCCTATGAATCGACCAAGTTTATAATTGTTACATTGGTGTTTTTTTTTTTTAAATAAATATCCCTCGTTAATTCAAATAGTTCTCTCTTGACATTGAATCTTTTTGATGTATGTCTCAGGACATAATTAGTCCTTTGAGTGGTTCATATGCCCTATTAGACTACAATAAAGAGCACAAGTCCATATTTATATTAACGAAAAACAGAACTCACTTCAAATATACTGTATTCATTTTATAATTTATTTTCAGGAGTTCCCTGAGTATGTCTAAGATCAAATACCAATGAAATTAATATGGGACCACAGCTTTTTTTTTTTTTTTTTTTTGTTTTTTTTTTTTTAATTTTTTTTTGTTTTTTTTTTTTTTCCGAATCCCAACCTCTGGTGGTAAGCACAGCAAATTTTACAACCCGACTTTCGACAAAAAGGGGACTTAGACAAACATACAAAATATACAATCGAATTGAGAGACCACAAGGTACACCCGCGTCCTTGTTTTTTGCACAGTCGACGGCCATCTAAGTCGATTGAAAAGAAAATGTGAAAAATTAATGTTAAATATACTTAAGCATTTTAAATATCAATAAAACATTTATAGTATTTCCTTTATACGAATTTTAATGACATTACCATTAGCAATTGTAATCATATATAGTTGTTATTTTTTACAGGATAAATGATGATGATAATAATAGAGATGACATCATTTCGATTATCTCTCAAATTACAAACTAATGATCGCTGAGCTCATAATATTACATACACCTTGTATATTAAATCAAGGGAAAATTAAACACGAAATTTGAACCGTCTCGATGGGTTCGGGAAGCCCGAGGCGTAGATTCGTGATGGGGGTTGGAGGGTTATATTGATCGGTGATTCAACAGCTGGGACCTTGGCAGTGAGGGTTGAGGGTGGCCCCTGGGGGGCGCGGGGCAGCAAGCCGCCTGCCCAATATGGCGGCCCTGCGTCTTAACACGATCCCATTGCCTACCTGCGAGTATTTTCGGCCTACTTCAAAAAAACCGACCAAATGCGAGGCGGGCTAGGGCACAAAGGGTTCCGTACCATTATCTACGTCAAAAAATCATGTCTGTTGTATGATCACCACTTAAATAGTTTGTTATTCTGTTTATTAGTATTCGTTGTTATAGCGGCAACAGAAATACATCATCTGTGAAAATTTCAACCGTCTAACTATCACGATTCATGAGATACAGCCCGGTGACAGACGTACAGACAGACAGACAGCGGAGTCTTAGTAATAGAGTCCCGTTTTACCCTTTGGGTATGGAACCCTAAAAAGGAGGTCGTCTGTTACCTCAGAACTCCGTCGTGTCTGAACAATGGAGTTAGTTCTGGGATGATTTTGGTATAATCTCTCTTTGGTCCCATATTAATTTCCTAATTTCATTGGCATAGGATCTTTTAGCTTGGATACATTAGGAACCACCTCAAAAAAAAAAGAGAATATGTTGTGAATGAGACATTCGAAATCGGTTTTGTTTTTTGATAATAAAAATATATTTTTAAAGGTGCTAATGATTTGCAAACAGCTCTTTTTTATCACAGGTTTATATTTAAACTGTAAACAAATATCGTATTCGTGATAAATATTCCAAGTTGTCTTCCTATCGAATTAATTAATTTGTATACCGTTAAGTCTTAAATGTCTACATACAAACTGATTTACTTAATTACATTGCCTCGCTGTATCTAATGCAAACATATGTTTAAATATTGCTTTAGTAGTGGTTCAACAAACAGTATAACAGGTTATTTCAAGACGCGATAATACTGTTAAATTAAAAATTAACTGAAACAACTTGTTTAGACAAAGAGCCGTGATAGCTCAGTGTCCGGGCGCTCGCCTTTAATTCAATATACTCGAGCATCCTGAGTTCGATCCCCGGTGTCGGCACCAATGAAATTTTTAATTTTACGTGCTGACTTATCACGTGCTCTACAGTGAAGGAAAAATTCGCGAGAAAACCTACATACTTTCGAAATAATCCGCCTAACCCGCAGTGAGGTCGCGTGGTGGACTACGCACAAATACCCTCTCTATAGAGGCCTTTGCCCAGCAGTGGGACATATACAGGGAGATTTTTTGAGAAGTGCCCAAATTTACACAGGAGGTTTAGACTCGGTAGTATAATCTTTTATTGAAATAAAAAAACAAAGTTTTTTTTTAAAAAATGCCATTCTATTCCCTAAAAAACAGAACGTGTTGACAATGCGGTAGTCATTCATGAATACCTAAATTTTATTGTGCACGAACTTGTGTGCGTGTTAGTTATGAATGATCACGCGTAAAATCAATGAGTTGATTATAAATCACGCATTTTTTTAGATAAGTTCAACTGAATGTAATTAATTACTTACGAGTGATTTTAAATATTTTTATATAACATTATTTATGTCTAGAATTTAATAAAAAAAAATGGATACACTTAGAAAAGCCGTTTTTTTTTACTTTGCTTTACTTTTTGTTCCTAAGGCGAGCGTCGCAACTTTTCAAATTAAACAACTTTCCCAAAATCGTCATCAAGAAACTGTCATCAAAGATTGCAATGTTGCGTAGCGTGATAAATCGCGAGTTTCTATATGCCGGAAAACCGTAAGATATACAATAAATATCGCGTATATAAAGTTGGAAAGGTAAATATAATGTGTACTCGGCAAAATTAACACTGGTCTTGTAGGTTTTTAGGGTTCTGCACCCAAAGGGCAAAACGGAACCTTATTACTAAGACTCCGCTGTCTGTCCGTCTGTCACCAGTATGTCTCATGAACCGTGATTGTCAGTTTTAGAAATTTTCACAGGTAATGTTGTACTTCTGTTGCCGCTGTAACAACAAATACTAACAGTAATAAAAAATATTTAAGTGGTGGAAATATTAAAGTAGATTAAAATATACAACGGACACAACATTGTCATTGAAATTTTTTCCCGTTTTTAGAGATAATGGTACGGAACCCTTCGTGCGGTTCGACTCGCACTTGGCCGGTTTTTCTAATTTAACGAACACTAACGACTCTTATATATACGAGTAACATTGCGAATTTCTAATTGAAATTTGAAGCATATGACAATTTTAAGTTCGATTTACATTTTAGATTTTAATAAAGCTCATCAAACATCTCCTGCGTCGGAAATACAAAGTGGGAGCCAAATTAAGAGTTCAATAAAGCCCGTTCCGAGAGGGTGCGCCGACAATTAGAGGGGGTGGCGTAAGGGGGAAGCCCCGGATCCGAAGGGCAATTTCAACGTACTATTGGATTCTGCGCTCGGCGCTTTTCTTTACTGTATTTGCCATGATAGCTCAGTGTCATCCAGTGACTCCAAAACTTGTTAAATTTTGTTACAGGTTAGGTAGGTTAGGTGACATAGTTAGATATTATTATATCAGATATAGTATTATTTTAATATTTTTGAAGTCGTTTAATTTTTTGTTAAAAACTTTTTATTTTTTTATTTTTAGTGATTTAATTTGAATACTTCGGTATTATAAAATTAGGGAAGACCTAGCAAAGCCGCTGCTCGTGTGAGAAAACAGCGTCAAACTGAAACTATAACTGAAAAAGGAAAGCGATAACAAACAAATAAGTAAAGAAAATCTGGAAGAATCTCAAATGAAAGGCTGGGAGCTGCGCAAAAATAGATTGTAGAAAAAGATCCTCTATGATACAGCACAATACAACAATCACACTATGTTTGCCTAATCGTGCTTTCCACGCTAACACGTGTCGGCTCCGGCGGCCATCAGTGCGTCTGGAGACATGGCCAGCCCACTTCGACTTCAGTTTGTTGATTCTGCGCGCAATGACAGTAACTACAGTTCTCTGGCGAATGACTTAGTTTCGAATCTTGTCTGCCAAAGAAACCCAAAGGATTGCGCGTTCCATCACCCGCCGAGCGACCTTGAATTTGTGAACCAGCCCCAATTTGAGTGTCGACGTTTCAGCTCCGTAGCTCATTACTGGTAGGACGCACTGTTTAAAAACTTTGACGACTCAAGAATGTGTAGTAGCTTCCCGAATGCCGCCCAGCCTAAGCGTATTCTTCGGTAAGCCTCCTTCTCAAAGTTGTGCCGGCCTGGTTGTATAGTTTCCTCAACCTCAAGCATTTTCGCCATTCACGACCACTGGTCTCGGTATCACATGACTATTGAACATAATTTTCATCTTGTCAAGGTCACTCGAGACCCACTCGTCTCTATACGAGACTCAGGCTTTTCAGCATGGCTCCCGGATCTTGCAGAGTTTTTGCCATGATGACAATGTCGTCAGCGAATCGCAAATGTGTTATTAATTGGCTATTTGCGGAGCACCGCAAATAGCGTCCGTACCGTCAGCAGACCGAGGCCAACTCCCGAGGCGAGCTTGAGAGGGATTAATCGGACACAGTGGACAACACACAGGTAATGGATTGGGCCACCGACTGGAATTTGCTCCTCATAAGTCAAATAAAATGACACGGAGCTGCAGTTTGAATTCATCCCACCGTCAGAAATGTAGACGCTAACAATTCACACAAGTGAGCTGAAAAACGCGAAAACAGCGTGGAAATTTCGTAAATACGCTGTTTTCGCGTTCTCAGCTATACCTGCTTAACCTTTTGAGTGTAGAGACGTGATGTTATGTTGTATGGTTGCGAAAAACAATGCAGATTTATGCATTAGTAGCGGTTGACTGGCTGTAATTTTTTGAAGACTTCCGTTGTCTATCTCCGAAAGTCATCATCAGATGTATATGAAATTTAAATGGCGGACCCATTTAAATTTCATATACATCTGATGAAACCCTTTCGAAAAAAAGAAAGTTTATGGTGGTAATAAACCCTAGAACATATATAAAAAACATGTAAACATCCGAATTGATAACATCTTCCTTCACTTCTTAAAGACAATTAAATGATTAATACTTCTAGTTTCTAGCACTCACTCTTTTTTCTCCAGAAAAATCTATAACGACAAACCTCTATACATTATTCTAGAATAAGAAATCACTGTTAAAACTCCAACTGTTGTACAAGAGTTGTACCTTCCTTCATCAGCTCAGCGTCATGAGATGATGATGACCATACGCATATGTCTCAATAGCTTTAGAAAATATATGAAAAACATTGTTTAATACCTATAACATTTGAGGTTTGCCCTCGATTTCCCTGGGATTCCATCATCAGATCCTGACTTGGTGCCAATGGGACCACCTCAGGAGTATAAAAAGAAAGGTTCCTAAATGGCGGAGATATCGGTGAACATATATAAAAAAAATACATACAGTCGAACATAGAACCTCCTTCATTTTGATGTCGGTTAATAAAGTTTTCAATGTTATATTTTTGTTACAACTGATTTTAGACTCATATTTACATCAATCCACCAATACCTTTATTTAAACATACTAAAACCCAAGCGTAAAAATATCATTGCAATCTAACTTGGTAGAAACTTCTATAACACATGCATTAGTAAATTAAATGATAATTACGGAATTCAATTACTTAAAATATCGTTATTACTTAACAACACGGGAGCGATAGTATTTTAATTACTTTTTAATTTAATTTTAGACGGTTTTGACATGGGTAGTTCTTTTTTGCTTTACATAAAGTTTTTTTTACAATTTTTATATTTTTCTTCAGAAAACATTAGCTAAAGCACATTTATAACTTATAGCAAAGCAAATATATAACGTACATATAAAACAGAACTTTCCCGGACGAGCCTGACTACCAGTTTGTGCAACGGTTGCCACAGTTGTGCCACACATACAGACAGTTTTTTTAACTACGGGTTTTGAAGCGTCAAAACTTCGCGCATTCAAAGCTAGTTTGCTAATAATTACAGAAAGAGGCTTACTGTCGTTAGCGTTCCCCGACGCTGGCTCCAGGGTCCATATCTGCTTCTTCTTGAGGCTGGTGCCGTTGGCGTTGATCTTGAAGCCGAAGGTTTCGGCTGTGAGGTAGCGGTAGCGCGAGTTGATCAGCCCTATGGTCCACCAGCCGCGCTGCTGGTTCTGGGTGATGATGTCGCCGGCGCTGGCCACCTCGCCGTTGCTGTGACCGTTGAGACCGTTCATCTTCACCTGCGGAAGGTCGCCACGTTATAGATAGATGGAGGAAGAGGGACACTTCTACTAGCAAACGATTGCGGTGGCGGTACACCTGATGGGACAGATAGGGAGAGAAACACTCCTGTGTTTGTAGCAAATGAGGTAGCGATACCATGGTAAGATCTGTATTTGTATTTATACAAATACTGGTTGGTAGTGTTTTGACTATCAAGTGAGTGTTATGTTGAATAATGATATTTGAATTTGATCTAATGTTGGAAAACTAAAAGAAGTGTCATTTTGTGTGGTGCGAAGCAGCAGCATTTCGTGGTCTTTTTTTTTGTTTGTTAAGAAGTAATCAAGAAGTGGAAGGGCCACGCAGTGGTAGGTTAACGGTGGTAGGGCCACGCAGCAGCCTCGGCTGTTGCACGAATGGGCAGGCTCGTCCGGGTACGTACCACGACCTCACAGAAAACGGCGTCAAGTAAGTAAGTAAGTATAATAATTTCGCGTTTCGTTCTGGTGAGTGAGGTGGCAGGAGCCCAATTTCCGAAAAGGTTGTCAACGGATCTGCAAATCCTCGGGTGTAGAAGATGTCCATGGGCGGTGGTATTCACTTAACATCATGTGAACCGTCTGCTGTAAGTAATCGGTACCACAGATTAAATTGTTAGAGTTGTGATTCCTTTGTGTAAAAGTGAAATTAAGTAATGATACCAGTGTTATTTTTGTAGAAAGTAAAATTACGGCGATTCGATAAAAGTGTTTATGTATATACCTTATCAGCTTGACTGAAAAAGGTAAGCTACGAGAACTAGTCGCATTCTTTCCCGATATTTTTCGAGAGTGTTCAATTTCATCCGGTCTATTGTCAATTCTTCGGATATTGGAGGGTTCACTTACGAAACTAGAACGCAAAACCAAAATACTTCTCGTCTCCGTATCGTAATCGTAAACCCCCTACAAAACACCGTAAATTACCTTTATACGGAACCGCCAGATCTCGAGAATAATTCGTATTAGTTTTATTTACATTACGGCAAATGCAAGTGGACCGCTTGATTACTTTAATGACTAATTTCGCCCCCTAAACAGTTTTTTTTTTAACTCATAGCGTCCAAAACATTTCCATTTCTTCCTTGAAGAAGAAATCTTTAATAATTCACATTTACGCTTGATGCGCGTGTATAAAGTTGTTGTTTACAAACCATTTACAGCTTTACAGTATACTAAAGAGTCGAATGTAACGGCTCTTAGAGAAAACGGTGGTGATACTTGCGGCTTTAAGGATTAGCCTACTTCGGGTGGGTTTCTCGGTAAGCGCTCTTTGTCAGCCATCGTACAGTTACCTTTAGTGAAGAGTTTATGATGGCAGAATTTCTTCATTAAACCACTTCAAGGGCATTTTGTTTACAGTTAAATCGGCACGGCTTATATCTTTCTCCTGTTAATAAGACGACCGTTAAGACTTTCAAGTACCAAAGTAAACAGGGAAAAATGTTTATCATTTATCCCTGTTTACTTTGGTACTTATATATATGTAAGTGGATAATAAAGGTTTTAGTAACAAAAAACAAAATCCATTTCAAATATCCCACCGACTATAAATTTTCTATTTCATTTTTGGAGTTCTCTTATATATCTCCGGAGTCCAAAGGTGAACTATCAATTAAATTAATATGGTACGACATAGGCGCTAATTGGTTCAGTTTAGCAAACATAATTTTTAATATCGGTTCATAAATGACAGAGTTCTAAGGTAACAAACATAAAAAAGCACGCAACCGATACCTCCTTTTTCGGAGTCGGTTGAAAAATAAGCGTCTCTCGAATTTTACTTATAGTTGATATTGTTTAACAAGATTTTAAATTGGTTAAAAACTTTATATATTTTTATATGAATTTCGTCCATCCAAATGTCTATTTTCGCCTTAAGTTGGCTGCGATATAAGAACTTTTTACGTATGTTTTAGAAAAAAAAAAAGCGTTTGAATATTGAATAAAATGCATTACACATTAACGCGATGTACGTACGACACTCTAACGAACATGACATGCATGCGTGCATTACAATGGTGGGCTAAGGCCAGACAGAACCAGTAAAGGATTCAAGGGGGTTAATATAAACAGTAATCAGGTTTGAAGACATGTTTTGACCCAATAAACAGTATATAGATAAAGAATATGGAGGTATACCGAACCAACTCTAGAACTATCGAATAACCTTTCTTACCTTAAGAAAGGTTTAGGATTAAATAAGTATAATTCTAATTTCAAAATAAAAACAATATAGGGTAACTATGGAAAAAATCGACATCATTTTTTAACAATGGCCAAACTTAAAAAATAATTCTGTTCTGAATTTATATCTGAATGGTGCTATGGATAAGGTTACATGATCGCATGAATAGTAGATACTTCTCTTCTATTATCCGTGCACAAAACCAAGCGCTCGCCTCTGGTACCATGACTTCGGCATGTTTAATCATTACAAGCCATTGTGGCCCGAACAATGAGGCATAGCGTACACCAGCAGTTGAGGTCCTTTACGCGTATGGGTTAGTTATTTCGAATTCTAGAGCATTGTGTGCAGTTTTTTGTGCGTTAGTCTGGATTTTAAGCTGGAAAATTCTCATTTGGTCGTCTGTTTTGTCTAAAAATACAACGTTTTAATCTGCACGGTCTATCGAAGTCGTTCGCGAATGGATTTTCGAGGGGTTTCGAGCGATAGCTTATAGTAAAGTACTAGGCACCCATCAAATTGCTAGAGGTATCTAGTTACGCGCGTCGTATCGGGTGTGTTTGCATGGAAATTGAGGTAATAATCGGTGCATCGTGGCGTTGTATATAGTTTGATTTTACCGTTTGAATTTTAGAGATAGCACTTTGCAAGGGAATGTGGTGGTATACGAAAGAACCACCGTAGAGTGCTGGCCGTTTAAATTGATTGCAAGCGCTCGTCTTTAATTCAATGTATGAGTCGAGCAACCTGAGTTCGAATCGGTGCCGGCACTGTATAGAGGGGGCCTTTGCCCAGCAGTAGGTATGCATAGGTTGTGTGTACATGTATAGGTTGTTACTTTACTTTATGGGGACAGAGCCTCTTTGTTGGCCTGGTTCTGGGTTGTTCTGGGCCGGTAGTTTGATTCCTGCAGCCTTGCAGGTGCGTTCGAATCTGCTTGGCTATGTGTGTGTACCTTGTGTCACTCTTTGTCTTTATTTTGCAAACGACTGCAATAAATAAGCATGTTCTCAATTCGGCGGTATTTTTAGGTTGTTACGGAATGTTGCCTGTTAGGTCCGCTATTTAATAAAAGGGTGCAGGTACGCTGTATAATTTATTGTTTCAACCCTTTGTGGTATAGTCCACCATGACAATCCCAAAAAATGGACGCCATCAGCTTACCAACTGCAAAAACGTCTTCATCTTCATACGTCCGTTCAACAGATTTATTCCACTACTTTTTACTTCTATATTTACTTTTTGATTCAATCAATCAAATATCTTATTCAAATAGACGCTTGCGCGTTCTTATGAATCGTCAATTTTTACATAAAAAATTATACATATAGGTTCGTAAGGTAACACCGGTTCGGAAGGCAGTTTCTGTTGACAAGAGACCGGCAAGAAACTCAACAGTTGCTCTTTTTCGCAACAGTTGTTCTGATTCGCTGACGATCAGTCATTACTGTTTCGTATTTTTAATGAGTAGCTTTTACATACCGCTAGATTATTAGACAACTAGTGTAGGACGACCCCCACTGGATGGAGTCACGACCTCTGCAAATAGCGGGGAGTCGATGTATGCAGGTGGCTCAGGATCCTACTTCGTGGCAGTCTATGGGGGAGGCCTATGCTCAGCAGTGGACTCAAACAGGCTGAATTGATGATGATTATACAGCGTGTCGTTACCATGGGGACAATAAATGAACACACGTGTAACGCTACTTGCCAATAATCATAAAAAATATAAACATTAAACAAAATTCATAGTTAAAAAAATGTTTTTCAAACAAACTAATTAAGTAAAAAAGAAACAAAATTTGTAACATCCTATGCGACTACAACTGACTGATTCATACATTCAGAGACTTTTTCATTCGTTGCCACAGCGTCGCATTACAAGTCTCTCCTTCTAACAGTATGTATTGTCTCTTTTAAATTCATTCAACCCATTCATATGCTTTGTGACCTTTACAAATGAACTTTACGTTACAGTTTTATACGTCAGGGTGTTCTAAAATTCTTCATTTTGGAAAATTTAATAACTCTGCAAGTATTGACGTTTAAAGAATGTAAATGTTTAATACAATTTTAAATAGTTATCTTCTATATGAGTGTTCATTTATTGTCGATGGTATATGCAGCTAATATTGACGTGTTGCAAACGAACCCCACTTTTATCATCCGAAAATCTTCAAATCGTCCTTTCTAATAAATAAACAGTTAGTAAAGAGAAATCCGTGACAGCATAGTTTACGTTTTATATCCCCGCGGAGGCTGAAATATTTGCTGAACAAAAACTGCGCTAAAACGGTACAAATTAATTATAATACAGCGCTCTCTGCCCACCGATCCTTGACCGTGGGAGCGTCCCTGAATGTCCACTAAAACATTGGCAAAAAGCAATCGACACTTTCGACATGGCAACGCCCGTCACGGCCTCGCACAAGGCCGGTACCTACAATGGAGTCGCGCTTCCAAAAATCTCCATGTAACACTCAAAACCACATGTCTACGTGTGCTTTGAATGGCGGGTTATATATGCTGCTGAATTTTTGACTTCGTGCCTGTTTTCATTACTATTGCCATCGTATCTCTCGATAACGTAAAGCGTACATGCTCAAGTTGATATTTTACGGTGATAGGGACACGCAGCAGCCTCGGCTGTTGCACGAATGGGCAGGCTCGTCCGGGTAAGTACCATGACCAAGACCAGAGTAAAGTAGAAGTATGACAAATACTTTCGCATTTCGTCTGGCGAGTCAGGTAGCCGGAGCCCAATTTTCAAAAGGACGCATCTGTAACCCTC